TCTCCCCATTGTCTACCTGAGATAAATGAGGAACAGAGAATGAAATGACTGCTTGAAGTCACACAGTGAATAAATGACTGAGCTTCCATTTGACCCCAGCTTTGATGATCATGCCTCCCATAATTCAGTAGGGGGGAAGTAGTTGAATGAACGGGTTTCCTAAGAATGAAAGCTGATCACAGTAACCGATTGTAATACAGTAACCAACAGAGGAACAGTGAAGCTGTAATATGACAGTAAACTGTTCTTCATCGTTTTAGAGTTGTATGGATGGCTGTCAGTGTGTGGACAAGTGCTCGGAGAGCCTCTTCCAAGTCTCTTCAAAGATGTCTTTTCTCTCCATCCTGTGCATCCATCTGGCTTCCCTCAGGAGTAAGTGAAAGGTTAAACTTCCAAGTCTTTTCCTTGGGCTGATAATGAGGGAATGATGTCTCTCCTCTAAAATTAAAAGAGGAGCCCAAGGCTTTACGGAGAGGATAAACTATGTGCGGCAAGGATACAGGATAGAGTTCTCATCCTCTGGTTTCCATGGACACAGAGAGCCCACCCTCAGCCCCAGACTCTATTTGGGTTATGCCTAGGACATCCAAGGCAAGGTAGAGGACGAAAGGGAACACACTCTTCTTTGGGACACAGAGGCCACCTCTCAGCTGGTACGTCGCCATCTTTTGCTCTCTTTCTTACCTTGAACATGCTCTCTAAAGCCGAGGAATGTTAAAAAGGATGCTGCAGCTGGCAGTTATTGGGAAGACTGGGAATCTTCGAGTCTTCTAAAAATAGATACTTTCATCCTGGCTTCTAGGCCAGAGTCCATGAGAAAGCCAGGAGACTAAGTGCTGGCTGGTATTTCAGTTCCCTTCTTCCTGGCCCTCCTCAGCCCATTCTTCTTCCTTTTTCACTGCAAGCTGAGGTTGGAACCCAAGATGTCAAGCATGTGAGGCATGCACTTTACCACTGAGCTACAGCCTAAGCCTGGTTTTTATTATTTTTTTAAAGATTTTTAATTTTTCTTTTAAAATTATGATATACCTGTCTACATACGTCCGTGTGTGGTTTTGTGCACGTGAGTGCAGTGCCTGCAGAAGCCAGAAGATGATGATGTTGGACCCCTGCAGTAGCAGGTGGTTGTGAGCTACTTGATGGGGCCGCCAGGAACAGAATTCCGGTCCTCTGTATGAGCAGCAAGCACTCCTAACCACAGAGCCATCTCTCCAGCCCCAAATATTTTTATTTTTAATGGTTCTGAGAAATAGCAAAGTAATTCCACCCTAGAGAGACTCTTCTTAACACACACACACACACACACACACACACACACACACACACACACACACCCTACTGCTTTAGTGTGAAGGATGCTACAAAGGATGTAATGAAGAGATGCACATGGCAAGAAGGATGGGAGGGCCTGGGGATCCCCCATGCTCTCTTGGGCTGTGCTATTAAGTTACAGGTTAGCCTTCAGCTGGGACCAAGCCCATACTCCTTGGATGACCAGTGAGGATGCTGCCCAAGGAGGTCTAAGCTTCTCGCCTGGTCTACTGCTCCTCCCAGCAGTCAAGGATTGAGAGGTGGTGGCCACTGATCTCTGTAGCTGCCACATCCTATCCATCTGTCCCAACAGGAAAACCCTGTTTCTTCCCAGAATTCTTACCTCTTTTTTTTTTTTAAATAATTGATTTATTTTTATTTTATGTGCATTGGTGTTTTGCCTGTGTGTATGTCTGTGTGAGGGTCCAGTGGAACTGGAGTTACAGACAGTTATGAGCTGCCATGTGGGTGCTGGGAACTGAACCCGGGGCCTCTGGAAGAACAGTCAGTGCGCTTCACTGCTAAGCCCTCTCTCCAGCCCGGAATTCCTACCTAATTTTTTAAGGATCAAATTCAAATGTGATTGACTACCCAGATGCCCCTTTGAATACTCTTCAGATGGTGCCAGATCCAAATGTTTTATTCTACTTTGCACATCTAGATCAGCATATGAGAAGCATTTTAACTCGCCCTCTTCCCTTACCCTCTCCCTTTGCCCTCCCTCTCTATGTATGGACAGGCTCTCACACAGTCTAGGCTCCCTTCAAATGCTTAGCCTCAAATACAAAGCTGAGGCTGACTTTGACCTGCTCTTCTGGCCCCCACCTCCTGAAAGCTGGGATTACAGGTGTGTCTTACCATGCCCAGCTTTCCGCAGTGCTGAGGATGGAGCCTAGGGCCATCCTGCATGCTAGGCGAGTGCATTCCTGAGCTACATTCCTAGTCCACAGAAAGCATCTAATACATTTTTCCCCCTTAGGAGGACCCTGGCAGAAACGTTTGAGTAAACAAAAGCTTTGTTTGAACAACCCTAAAAGCTAAATTGTATGTTTTTCCTTGCTGCACAGAATGCTGACTTCTAATGTTGGAAATAGCAGGTGTTTTTGTTTGTGCTTTTTTTTTTTTTATTTTTTTTTATTTTTTGCCTAGGATGCTGGGAAATACAAGTTTTTACAAATAATTGGTGCAAGCAGTGTCTTTCGGTCTTCTGAGCCTCTGGTGAGTTTCCTGCCTGCGGAGGTCCAATATCCTCCAGCTACCTGTGTAGACAGTTGGGACAGATGGTGCCCTGAGGTTATGGTACACATTTTAACGACAATCAAGACTTCTCTGGAAAAGTTTAAGGGGAAAAGCAGGGTCTTTGACTATTTCCTTGTAATCTTCAGAATTTCTTTCTTTCTTTCATTTGTTGTTGTTTCATTTGCCAAGACGCAAACTATTCCTCAGCTGGTCTCAGGTGCCTCTAGTTTGGACTGAAGCCCTGCACGCCGGTATCTCTGGAATACTGAGGGGCCATGGTCTTTTTACTTGTAGTTTTCTCATAACAGATTCAGCTCTTGGCCGCCTTCCTCACCCAGGGTGGGGAACGGTGAGTGACTTGAAGCCTCTCCTGTTGACTGGAAGGCACTGGGCGTTGCCAAGCACACCGCCAAGAACTTGACCTGAACTGAGGAATGGGATCCGGGCAGCTGTGCCCCTCAGAGCGGGGGCTGGCTGCCAGCTCTCGGGGCATCTGGCGGCTGGGGAGATTCCTCTGCTTGGACAACAGGCTTTCCATTCTGTTCAGTGGCCCTGCCCTGATTCCTCACCTGCTGTGCTTCTGTGTCCCCCAGCTAACTCCACCTCCCACTGAATTTTGCAATTTGCTGTCAACTTAACCTCTGCCTGCTCCTCTCTCTCCTTCTGGAACTGCGTTTCTCTGCAAAGCTTAACGTCGGTCGACCAAGATGAAGTTTCCTTTAACTTTTTTTCTCCAGCACATTCCGAGAGCTGACTTCTTCTGACCTACAAACGGGAAAGACTGCATTTTACCACCATGTAAAGGCCACTCACTCAGCATCCCGGGAGTTTTCGGTTTGGGCTGCTCAGAAAGACCTAGAGGCTGGTGAAGGAGCCAGGTTCTCTTCCAGAAACACTCATTACAGTAACACATTGGTGCTAGCATGCAGCTGACCTCCCTCTGGGGTGGCCCTTGGGCCCCTCAAGTTAATGAGTAGGTTTGGGTGTCTGGCTACTCATTTTGTTCCACCTCTCTCCCCTGCTTTCCTTTTTTCCTCGTGTGTACGTTCGTTTGGGTGGAATTTCGTCATTTTTATTTTATCGCCCACTTGACAGGTCTTGTGCACAAGCTCTGTCCTCGAGCTGTGTGTACCCCTAGCCTGATAGTTCTTTACTTTTCTTCTCAGCCTGGTCCTTGTTTCCCTTCCTAGCACCCTTTGTTCCAACTCAGCTAGAAGACCATGAGTCACTAAAAAGTTTCTAGATAGCTAATCCAAGGATAAGGGCAACTCGATTGTGTTCAGGGCACCATCCCCCGTCTGGCCTACTTTTTAAAAAAAAAATGTTAAATTACATTTTAACTTGTGTGTGTGTGTGTGTGTGTGTGTGTGTGCGCGCGCGCGCGCCTGCGTACCGCAGCATCCAATGTGGAGGTCGGAGGACAGCTTTCAGGTATTGATTCCCTCCTTCCACCGTGTGGGTTCCAGAGAGAGCTCAGGTGGCCAGTTTGTTGGCTTGGTGGCACCAATACTCACAGAGCTGCCTCCGCCCACTTTTTAACTGCATGCTGTCTTTGGTCTTCTGTTTTGGTCAGCCTGCTGCTGTGTCCTGAATCTGGGACTCTTAGAGGAGGAAGCCCTTTATCTCAGTGTCTTAGACCCTCTCACATAGGTGGCTGTCCGAAAAGTGGGCACAGGAAAGGTTTTCCTTCTGAATGACTAATTGCTTGAGAGTTCACTGTCTGATCACCCGTATCAGACTTTGTTTTGTGGGCAGAGAACACATGCCCGTAGAAAGAGTCCCATAGGGCTGTGGGTGTAGCTCACTCAGTGCCAGAGCACTAGCCTAGTAACCGCAAGGTCATGGGTTTAATCCTTGAGTATTGCCAAAGCTGGGTAATGGCGTCACAAGTTCAGGGCCCAGCCTGGGCTACATCATGAGACTGTCTCAAACTGTAAAATAAAACTCAAAAAGACTCCGGGCAATTGCTTACCTCCTGGGCTGTTACTCTCTTCCCAGAGGGCTGTGGAGATGAAAGGACAGCCAGGGAAGTACTTTGCAAACTGTGCTGAGGTGGAAGAGCCGTGCTGATTGGGGGAAAGGATCCCGCCTTGAGACCTCAGGAAAGACTGCCGGCGTCATGGGTGGGACTGGGTTCCCAGAGGGGCCGAAGGAATTCCCATTCTTTCTGGGAGTTGCGCTGAGCCAGGCCCTAGGTTATGTAGCCCCGAGGGCGAGAATCAGAGCAAGCTATTTTCTATGCTCACTTCCTAGGCAAGACTATAGCTTATTTTAAAAGGGTGTGTGTGGCCAAGCCCAGAGCAGCTTGGGACATTTCAAATTGGCACCACCTCCTCTGGCTGCTTCTGAAGCCATCCGGAGGCCAGGCCTCGGTCAGATGAACGGAAAAGTAAAGAGAGGACCGGGGAGTCTGAGACCTTTGCGCAGAGGGCTGGAGTGTGGAGGAGGGCGGGCGGGAGAACCGGGAGGAGGGAGCTGGGTGCGGAGGCCCCACCTTTCATTCCAGCGCTGCACCGGCCGGGGCGGGATGAGTCACGGCTGGCTGGCTGTGCTGTGCACCTTCCCGTAGGTGAGGGACTCGGACCTCTCTGGGAGAAAACTGCGGTGCCCGCTCGTCCTGGCTTTGGCCTTGGCAGGGTGCTGGAGCCCTGGGTCTGCCGGGTCTGGCCTCCGGGGCCACGGCTGGCTTTCCCTGATGTATGGAAAGAGCCCTGCGCGAGTGCTTCCACTTCTCCTGGGCTTACAGCTCACAGGTAAGAACTGGCGGGCTTCTAGTTTTTTCCTCCACCGCCCACTCTGTGTAAAGATAGCGCTCATGGCTTGAAGAAGTCTCAAAGGCGCTGTGGGGAGCCCCAGACCCGGCTGCAGTTCGTTCTAGTCCAGACCGCCCCGAAACTTCAGTTCGGTGGGTTGCTTTGGGGCAGTGCTTTGGGCAAACAGGTTTAGGTGTGTTTGGCCGCTCGTGATTCAGGCACAGACAGGGCTTTCTGATCTCAGGTTACACACCATCTTTGTGTGGCGGCTCTCGGCCTCGGTCTGCTGGCTAGATTTGGCCCTTGGCTTTCTGTGGGAGGATTTTGTCTGCCGCACCACGGAGCAAACCTAGATTATCAGAGCGAGAGCCCCGCTGTGGTTTTGAAGCGGCCCCAATGCACACACCGAACTTGTAAATTCGCCACGTGGTGTAAGTGTTCCAGGGGTGCAGGCGAGCGCAACTGCTGGGGTGGATTAACCTGCAGGCTAGGAGCATAGCAGTCCCAAGTCTGCAGGCTGGAAAACGTACCTGCCTGGAGACATTATTATTTTTTTAACATATGCTTTATTGCTTGATCTTAATACTCCACGTCTGACCAACGTTTGGATTTTTTTGTTTCTGCTTTCCGTCTTATTGGCTGATCTTTGTAGTTTGTGGTTACAGTTCTGAAGTTGGTACCGTGAGGCTTTGAAGAAAGTGAGCGCACCAGGTAGTTTGCTGGGCAGAACTTTTAATTGGCCCTCGGGATGGGAGGGTCAAGGTTATGTGTAGGTAGGTGTGTATGCAGACCTCAGGTGAAGTGAGTTTGGAGGCTGGCTTATTTGGAAGGTGTCAGCGGTTTTTTTTTTTTTTTCTTCAACGCTACACCGCTGTTAACCTTTTTCCTTCCTTCCTTGCAGCCCTTCGCCCTACAGGAGCTGTGGAGATTTACACGTCCGGGGCCCTGGAGGCAGTCAACGGGACAGACGTGCGGTTAAAATGCACTTTCTCCAGCTTTGCCCCTGTGGGCGATGCCCTGACAGTGACATGGAATTTCCGCCCTCGAGATGGGGGCCGTGAGCAGTTTGTAAGTACATTCTTGTCACCTTCCAGCAGACCCTTGACTAGGAATGTATTCAGGCTGCGACTCTCAACCTCGAGATCGTAGGACCCTAGGGGTCGCCTAAGACCATCGGAGGAAAACATGGATATTTACACTACGATTCATAACAGAACCAAAATTACACTTCTGAAGTAGCTTGGCTGGGGGGGCGCCACAACATGAGGAACTGTATTAAAGGGTCTCAGCGTTAGGAAGGCTGAGAACCACTGTATTAACGCAATCCTTTTTTTTTTTTTTTTTTCCCCTTGCCTTTCCTGTGTGGGCCACATGCCTGGAGTTAAGTTGGGAACCAGTTCTTGGGACAGAGAGTGATAGATCCGAGAAAAGAGAAGCCAGAGAGTGTTCCGAGGAGTTAGCTGGAGCCTGGGTCAGACTTGCTGAGGCTTCTCTTCCACCCCCCCATCTCAGCCTCCCGCCCCGTACAGAGTGGGAGAGATCATCCTTTCTTCTCTTAGGTGTTCTACTATCATATGGATCCCTTCAGACCCATGAGCGGACGGTTCAAGGACCGGGTGGTCTGGGATGGGAACCCTGAGCGGTACGATGTCTCCATCATCCTCTGGAAGCTGCAGTTCGATGACAATGGGACATATACCTGCCAGGTGAAGAACCCACCTGACGTCGATGGTCTGGTAGGGTCCATCCGGCTCAGCGTGGTGCACACTGGTAGGTTTTAGGAAGTGAGAGCTGACAAAAAAAAGTAAATTAAAAAAAAAAGTGCCATCTTTTGTGATGTTGAAAGGGAGAGAGGGCCCAGGGCTTCAGGGCTGGGAACTTCAGAGACTGAGAAGTCCTGGGGTGAAAAAATACAGGCTTTGTTTGCTCATGGAAACAAAATAAAGAGATCTGAGGAATCTGTGACAAGAATGGCCTTGGGATCCTGAAAGGGACAGGAAGGAACTCTGATAAAAAAGACTCACAATAGGTCAGTTCATTCTCTCATTTATTCCAGATGCGTATTGAGTACCTGTGTGCCAGGCACAATCCAAAGTGCTTGGCACACATTATCTCATTTAATCCTGACACACTACCAGTAATGGTTACCGGTGTTCACTCTGTGCTCCTGGCTGTCAGGAGCTTTACACGATGCATGTTATTTATTCTTTTAAGAACAATTTTAAAATTATTATTTGATGTGCATGGGTGGTTTGCTTGCATGTATGTCTGTGCACCATTTAAGTGCCTGGTGCCCATGGAGGCCAGAAGAGGGTGTCAGATCCCCTGGAATTGGAGTTACAGTTGTGAGCTGCCATGTGGGTGCTGGGAATCGAACCCAGGTCCTTTGAAAAAGCAATCAGTGCTCTTAACTGCTGAGTCGTCTCTCCAGACTCATTTATTATGGGCAGGCACAATTTATAGAAATTGGTTCCTCCCCCCAAACCCCCCTCCCCCCGACAGGATTTCTCTGTATAGCTTTGGAGCTGGTCCTGGAACTCACTCTGTAGCTTAGGCTGGCCTTGAATTTACCCAGATCTACCTGTCTCTGCCTCCTGAGTGCTGGGATTAAAGGCATGTGTCACCACTGCCTGGCTCATTTTTTTTTATAAGCATCCAAGAAATGGATATTGTTATGTCTTAACATAGGAGGAAACTGAGATTCAATAAAAATAAATAATAAATAACCCAGGTCACACAGTTAATAAGATAGAGCTAGCTCTCATGCACATGTGTGTGTTTGAGAAAAGCTCTCTCTATGTAGCCTAGCCTGGCCTCAAACTTGAGATCCTCCTAACTCAGCTTCTTAAGAGCTGAGGAGGCGTGTGTTCTTAACTAACACACAGCATTGTTTAAAACATCTTTGTGTGTCAAGGGGTGTGATTGTTTCCTGTCACCATTACCCAGATCACTCTAAAGCCGTCTTTCCAGGCTCTACCAAGAGACAACTGTGTGGTCCACATAAATCATCTGAGCACTGAAAGAAATAATGCAATATCTCCAGTCCTCAGTTGTTTTTGCTTTTTTCTGATAGGTTAGGCAAAAAAACCCAAACCACAAACAAAAACAACAGAAAGCAAACAACAATAACAACAAAACCAACACACAAAAAGCAGTGGTTTAACTTGTCAGAATCAATATTTTTTTGAGAGCCTACAGAAAGCCATGGCTGTTTCCCTACTTTAAGAAATGGATGGGGGTTGGGGATTTAGCTCAGTGGTAGAGCGCTTGCCTAGCAAGTGCAAGGCCTCAGCTCTGGAAAAGGAAAAACAAACAAACAAACAAACAAACAAACAAACAAACAAGACATGGATGTACACTTGCAGAGACTCCATTTGTCTATTATATGTGTGTTGGTGCATCTTTATCTGTGCACTGCTTGTGTGCCTGGTGCCCACAGAGGCCAGAAGAATGCACTGGATCCCCTGGAATTTTTTTAGCCTTCCTGATGGATTCTAGGCTGGAAACTCCTGGCATAGACATTCTCTTGATGTCCTTTCTGGCTCTTAGGGTTATTGTTTTACTTGTCTGTCTTCTGGGGGATGGAAAACACACACACACACACACACACACACACACACACACACACACACACACACCCTGCACAGTGCCGTGGGTATTATGCTTGTGACCTTTCATTTCTATCATAGTGACAGGAACACAGTAGGTGCTTTAAAGCCTGACTGAATGAAGGGGTGAGTAGAGTTATGCAGGACTGAGTTGGACATAGTTCTAACTAGGTTAGCAGTAACTTGAATTACCGGGCAGTTTAACTGACTCAGTGGTTCTCAGTGCTTGGGTGTCGTCACCGGCACCTGGAGGACATGTCCGAACGCAGATGGCTGGATTTACCTCAGTGCTTCTAGTCCGGCATGTTTGGGGTGGGGCCTGAGAATTTCCCTTCAAAGCTCTCCAGTGGTGAGGTCACTGCTTCTAGAATCACACTAGAGAAGCCCTGATGTAGTCTGAGCAGGTTTCCCCTGCTGCCAAAGGCTACAACATGATGTGCTATTTTATTCACCAAAGTAGGAGAAAGGGAGAGTCTGGTTGATGATAAGCTGCACTGTTACTGTCTTTAGATTTCACCTCACTGCTCTGTCTTGTCTTTTTCTCCCCACAGTGCCCTTCTCTGAGATCTTCTTCCTGGCTGTGGCCATTGGCTCTGCGTGCGCAGTGATGATCATAATAGTAATCGCCGTGGTCCTCTTCCAGCACTTCCGGAAAAGGCGATGGGCGAAAAGGGCTGAGAAAGATGAGGGGATAAAATCGTAAGGCTGAGTGAGCCCTGGTGGGAGTGCCTGCTCGTACTCTTGGGGTGGCTCTTGGGACTTTTTTCAACAGGGCCAAACAACTGTTGAACAGTCGCTTTTACTTTTGACCAAATGTGTGAGAAGTTCCACTTCACAGGACAGATAAATTAGGACATGGGTAGTAACTTTACAAAGTGCTTCTTAATGGGGCTTGAGAGATGGCTCAGTGGTTAAGAGCATAGAGTGCTCTTGCAGAGGACCTAAGTTCGGTTTCCAGCACCCACATGGCAGCTCACAGCAGCCTTTGACACAGGCTCCAGGATGCAGCACCTGTGGCCTCTGTGATCACCTGCACTGATGTGCACAAACCTGCATCCAGATAGACACATACACATAACTTAAAAACAAAATAAATCTTTAAACAGCAACAATAACAAAATCCGAAAGGGTTCTTAATTTTACAAAAGACCTCACCAAAGAAATTCATTCATTATGTGGGTGGGATTTTTGGTGGCATAAAAAAGTGAACATGTGTAGCTTTAAAAGAATCTTCTGTGAAGGGAAGTGCGCTTGTAAGAGCCGCAGGGCAAGACACTCAGCAGCCACTGAATCGGTGGCTGGGCAAGTTTGCTGTGCTGACCGTAAGTGCTCACTGCACATTTTAAAATGAGATAAAGTTTAGAAGCTATAACATTCACTCATCTGGGAAGAAGAGATGGCGTAACGGTTAAGAACGCTGCCTGCTCTTGCAGAGGACCTGGGTTTGGTTCCCAGCTTCCATTCGGTGGCTCAAAACTGCCTGTGACTCCAGATCCAGGGGATCTGATGCCCTCTTTTGGTTTCTGTGGGTTCTGCACTTACATATTCACAGGCAAAACACTCAAATAAAATAAAAATAAACCTTAGAAAGAAAATGCACCCTTTTAAATATACACAAAGTTGTGCAATAATCACCAATTCTAGAACCTTTTAAGCATTTGCCCCTAGAGAAACCCCCTATCTTCTAGTCCTCGCTCCTCCCACCGGCGTGACAGCAACTCACCTGCTCTCTGTCTGTGGGGTTGTGTCTATCCTGAGCATTTAACGTAAGTAGAACCATGAAATACGTGACCTTTTGTATCTAGCTTCTTTCATTCAGTATGTTCTCAAAAGTTGTCAATGTTGTAAAATAGTCACTACTTCATAGTTTTTGTGTGTGCTATGTGCATGTGTGTGCCCATGTGGAGGTCAGAGGTACACATTGGGTGTCTTCCTCTATTGCTCTCTATGTTCTTTGAGACATGATCTCTCACTGAGCTTGGGGCTCACTGATTGGATAGACTGGCTGTCTAGCAAGCCTCTGGGATCCTTCTGTCTCCACCTAAGACTAAAGGGGTTCACTGCCACACCTGAGGCTTTTTACATGGCGCCAGGAGATCTGAACTTAGATCCTTGAACAGCAAGCAGTTTACACACTCAACTGTCTCCCCATCTTACTTCATTCTTTTTTATGGCTGTATGATGTTCCACTACAGTGGGCACATCACATCATTTGTCTCTTCAGGTGATGGACATATAGTTTTTTTCTTCTTCTTCTTCTTGGCTCTTATAACTAATATCAATCACAGTGAACATACTCTACACCAATTTTTGTGTACAAATACTTTCAGTTCTCCCAATAATGAAGGGACATTGCCAAGTCACTGGTAACTATTGAATTTTTGGAGGAACTGACTAACCATTTTCCCGTAACAGCCAATACATTCCTATCAGCAACGTATGGACATTAGAACTTCTCTACAGTCTCACCAGCATTCACTTTTGACTATTGCCCTCTAGTGGATGTGAGGTGTTGTCTCAGTGAGATTTTGATTTGCATCTTAGTGATGACTAATGGTCCGCCTCCACCTCCCATGTGTTTAGTGGCTGTTTATAGAACGTCTCTGGAAATGTGTCTGTTCAGATAGTCTGCCCAACCTCAAACTAAGATGGATGTCTTCTTATTGTTGAGCTATAAGGGTGCCTGTCCCCTTTCAGTTACATTACCTGAAATTGCTCCCATTCTGTGCTCTCTGCTCCTTCTTGAATATTATCCATTAAGACACAAGAGTTTTCCGTTTTGATGAAGTCCATCTCTTCTAAGAATTTTATATTTTCAGTCACATTCTTACATATATCTTTGGTGTATTTTGAGTTAAGTTTTGGATATAATTTAGAGTCTCCATTCTTTTGCATATGGATTTATAATTACCTCAGAATCACTTATTTATTTTTAATTAGTTAATATTTACTGAAATACATGTAATTCTTTGGGAAGCATCTAAGGAACCCATTGATGGCATTCTGGTTTGAAGAGAATATAATCAATAAAGAGGAGTTCTAAGCCAACCCCTCCCCCCAAAAAAAAACCCACCAAGTTCCCCTTTTTGCAGAGGAGCATAGACATTAGAAGTAAGACACAATGGTGAAGTACAGGTGTGCACATTAAACTTCCGCTGTACTATGTTAGATCTCAAGGAACTTCTCTCACATTTTGAAGTGTCTGAGTTCAGACTCATAGGACACGTGGGGGCATCAGTATTATTCCTTACACAGCACTGGCGGTTCAGCTCTCTGTAGCTTGAACGGACTCCAGGTGTATGTACTTTTTCCTAAAGCGTGGGGTCTGGGGCCAGGCACCTTACCTGGTGCTGCTCTGAGACCTGCCACCTTTGCTTCCTGTCTTGCTCACCTGACGTTTGGCTCCTATTCCTTTGTTTCAGCAAAGAAGAGGAAAAACTCCAACAAGAGAACAAGGTCTCTGTATATTTGGAAGACTAGCACTGTGAGGTAAGGGTCACACGTGGGTGGCTTCTGTCTTCAGCTTGCCTGGCTGTTTAGCCCATCCCCCCCATGGATGGATCTCTCTGGTCACTGTACATGGCCGATGACATTCCTGTTTAGGAAGATTGGTCTCCTATTAGCTTCGTAGATGACTTTGCCTTTCAGGGTGTTTGTGCATATGAGAGAACTCTACATTTTGAGGTTTGGGGGTTATATTAACCACCACCAATGATGAACTTCCAACAGGTGAATAAATCATTGTGTGTGTGTGTGTGTGTGTGTGTGTGTGTGTGTGTGCATAAGCAGATGACACCGGTGATCAGATGACAACCGGTGCCATCTCCCTTGGGTTGTTGTTGTTGTTGATGATGGTTTCTTGTGTGTGTGTGTCTGTGTGGCAGTCTCTCGCCGGCCTGGCACTTGCTGTTTGAGCTAGGCTGTGTGGCCACCAAAGCCTCTCTCTGTTTCACCAGTGCTTGGGTTCTCATCATGTGCCACCATGCCCGGTTGTTTACATGGGTTCTGGTGACAGAACTTGTCCTTATTCCTGTATGGCAAGCACTTTGCCAGCTCTCCAGCCCAATAAATCATTTTTAATGAAAAGATTTATATCTGATGGTTTGGTTTTTATTATAAGTCATTTATGGCATGGTGGTAAGTGACCTAAGGATCAGAGAGATGGCTCAGTGGGTAAGAACACTTCCTGCTCTTGCAGAGGTCCTGAGTTCAGTTCTTAGCACCCACATGGTGGCTCACAACCATCCATAACCAGGTCCAGGGGATCCAACATCCTCTTCTGAACTCTTTGGGCACAGCACACACGTGGTGCACATACAAAAATGCAGGCAAAACACTCATTAAGTAAAATAAATCTGAATAAAGTTTAAAGGAAATTTAACAAACATCATAAAGTGTAGCCTGTGGTTTCTGATAGAAGATACAAATTTAAACAAATTATAAAAAGTTAGGAGGTTGGGCTTGGCATGGTGGTATAGGACTTGATTTTAATCCCAGCACTCAAGAGGAAGAGACAGGTGGACTTCTGAGTTCAAGGCCAGCCTGGGCTACATAGTGAGTTCCAGGGCAGCCAGGGCTACGTAGTGAGACCTTGTTTGAAAAAAAATAATGGAGGTTGTAATTAAGATTTTGAATATGAGCATGCGTGTGGATATTAGGCAGTTATTAGGTCTTAGTAAGTATGTAATGGTATTATGGTTACAAAGGAAAACAAGTTTTAAAAATGTATGTTATAGCCGGGCGGCGGAGGTGGTGGCGCACACCTTTAATCCCAGCACTCGGGAGGCAGAGCCAGGTGGATCTCTGTGAATTCGAGGCCAGCCTGGGCTACCAAGTGAGCTCCAGGAAAGGCACAAAGCTACGCAGAGAAACCCTGTCTCGAAAAACAAAAAACAAAAAACAAAAAAAGTATGTTATAATATGTAGAGGTAAGTCTATAATTTAAAAAAAGCTTGTCATAAAACAAAACAATAAACAATGCCAAAAAGAAAGGAAAAATTTTCAAGGTAAGCAGTGCATGAATTCTACACATTAACTAATCTATTTTCCTTTATGTTGATTTAATCAATGGGGGAAGAAGGCATGGGATGTAAGCATGTGAATGACCTGTAGTTACCCATGTGTCCACGAAAGGCTCTTAGAAAAGACACTGCTAGCATGGTGACACATGCTTATTATCCCAACACTTGGGAGGCTGAGGCAGGAGGACTATTGTGAGTTCTAGGCCAGTCCTAGCTACACCCGTGAGTGCCGGGCCAGCCAGGGCTACATAGTAAGATCCTATCTCAAGAAAACAAAACACAGCACAAAAAAGACACGGGATCTGAGAACCATGTAACACAGAGCAGGAAGCAAGTCCTTTGAAATTAAAAATCCAATTAGTGGGAGAGTAAGCTTAAGAATATTTTCCATGAGGAGCAGGTTATGGATGTTGTGGGTGTGTGATGGGCACTGCCAGGTATTCCTCTTACACTCTTCTCATGAACATTATCCTTTTAAACTTTTATATTCCAGGAAGCTGAGGATTTTCAAGGACATTAGTTCCCCTTGAAGTCAATGGAAACGTTTCCAGTGATGATCTGCCATCCTGCAAGTTCCGCAGCACAAACCTGCCCAGATGAGCAACGCCCCTGCCGAGCAGCTTAGGACTCTCCCTGAGCAGATGCTGCTAGACTCCTGTGCACCTTCATTACTAGGGTTTTACCTAATCCCAGAGTGCGGGTGTGTATTAGCTTTTGTAAACTGGGAAGTTACATTTTTGTCCTTCCAAATGCCTGTGGGGTGTGACTCCTGTACTCCCGTGTGTGTATTGGCATCAAGGGGCAGGAAAGCCAGCTAGCCTGCCCGCCAGGTGATATTTCTTCTCACATTTGAGTTTCTTTAGGACAGCACAGAAGTGTGCTAAGGGGTCTGGAGAGGTGGCTCAACCTTTAGGAGCACTGGTTGCTCTTACGGAAGACCCCAGTTCAGCACCCACATGTTGACTCACAACCATCAATAACTCCAGTTCTAGGGGATGTGACACCCTCTTCTAGTGTCTGGGGGCACTTCATACATCTAGTACATGTACATCCATGCAGGCAAAACCCCCATACGTAAAATGAAAATATATCATAAAAAGGTGAGCTAAACCTCCTCCCAGCCATTTTTGATGAATAGCAAAACCCAAATTCACACTGGAAGTCTGATTTTCATGGCTGTCCTTAAGTAGTAGCCACATCTTGTTTAACTGAATTTGTTCAGTATCCTAGATTTTTTGACAGTTAATCCAAGGTCTGTAGGTGACAGTACAAATCTAACCACAGTAACTACAGAAGGTCACGAGAACACCAGTATACCAGCAGATGCTACCAGGAAGAATCACTCATGGCCGTTTTTACATTTATTTATTTTTAGACAAGTTCTCACTATGTATCACTGGCTGGTCTAGAACTAGCTATGCGGAGCAGGCCTTAAAGTTCAGCTCTCTAGTGCTGGGGTTGAAGGTGCACCACCACATCCAGCTCACTGCAGCTTTGTACTGAGTACGGCTTGCTTACTGTGCTCTGTCTCCCTCAGCAGAGCTCAGCTCATTTGCTGACTTTGTGATATCATTGTATTACAACTTAAAATTAATTTGGACTTGTGAAAAAGGCCAACCCAAGCAAATGACCATTTTGCACAGTCTTATGTAAGTGTGAGAACTGAAAGAAATTCTTTAAAGTTCTTTTGGTTTTAATTCACCTTGTTTTAAGGAGAATTTGGCAGGGACCAAAGAAATACCAAAACTACTTAAAGGTAATGAATCAATTTTATTTTTCCCTTAATTTGAGTATAAAGCAAATTTTTCAAGTGGGCTATGGGAAGAAGAGGGATGGATTTCTCCTTTGCATCTAGTTCCTTGGTGTGTGCACACAAGTCACAACAGCATTGTTGGGAGAACAGAGAACATCTAAAAGTGAATCTTTACAATGTGATGTTTTAATCCTCATTAGACTGCTGCACAGATTACTTCTAACAAACTGGAATTTCCAATAGATTGTATTTCTAGACACAGGACCTTGACATTTTACCCAGTCTTTAAAACAAGTTGACATCATTTCCATGTGAACCTTGGTCTTGAAATTCATTCCATACCTCTCATTCTGCTTTTCATACTGCCTTTAAAATGTTCTCTTTTGTTGTTGTTGTTGTTGTTGTTCTCTCTCTCTCTCTTAATTAAGACAGGATCTGTTTGTTGCCTTGGCTATTCTGGACCTCTCTGTAGACCAGGCTGGCCTTGCCTTGAAGTCATAGAAAGCCCCACTGCCTCTGCCTCCCTAGTGCTGGGATTGAAGGTGTGAGCCACCATATCCTGGCCTAAAAACGTTTTGATACCTAGTTTTGAAGCTACAAGTTAGATCTGTGTTTTCTCCTGTTCTTCATAATTCACCGTTGTGAATACAACTTGATATTTCTTTAAACAATGGCCCATGTATGTTCCATAGGTGTACTGAAGTAGTTAAAAACTCTCCAGTGAACTTGCAGCTTGTGTCTTGTCTGAATACTCATGGGGTATCACAGCCTTGTTCAGTGTCTCCTTCCTACGAGCACTTTTGTACTGTAACTTATTTTTTATTATGCCTAAAGCATTGTGTAAATAAACCCTTAGTAATAAAGAGTTATGGATTTTATTATTTGCTTACATACAAATCTGCCAAATTCACATAGCAGTTAATAGCAAACAAAGGGATGTGTTTTATCTTTGCTCCAGTTTTCTTAGTAGAGACAGTAGAATCAGTAATGGATGGAATTAATTTCTAGTAGATATATATGATTTCTATAGGTTTCTCATGTTGCTTTGGAGAGCTGGGAAATGGGCAAAGTGATCCCACACATTTGGAAGACGCATTTCTTGAGTCTAATTCTAAACCTTACCAGCGTCTTACTATGAAGCGCACGTTGATCTTGGTCCTCCTGCCTCAGTGTTGCAGATCCTGGGCCTACAGACTTGCCACCCTGCCTGGCTTAGTTTGGGGGACTTCAGAGGCACTGATACTAGTTTTTCTACGCTTACTCTCTTCATAGAGAAAACCACCAACTTTCAAGTCTGGTAAAGTGTACCAGTTGAGAATGTCACAGCTAGGAAATTTTCCAAAAGCGGAGGCTTTTGCTTCCCTTCCACTTTCATTGACCATAGCAGTTCCAGGAGAATTGGGTGACTACATCAGTCAAGCAGGGTCCTGGACCGTCTATTTTCAGAGGATGTCGGACCATCTCATTTCCTTACTTTTGGAACGATTGATACACATACCTTAGTTCCCCTTCACCTCGAATACACGCTGTAGATGATTTCATCATCACTGTCACTGCAGTCATTTAATAAGCATCCAATTCTGGATGATGTCATGGCTACATTAAAAGGAACAGGAACGATGAGGCTTGCGTGTATTTACCGCAGAGCCCAATAAAGATTTATTTATTTGACCCTGTACACTCGCCTATGTCTCCCTGAATTTCATATGCGAATCTATTGTGAAGGTTCAATTTAGACCCTCTATAGAGATAGAACTTCTGGATTACAGTCAGAGGATCAAACCTGGGCATGCAGAATTCCAGGAAAATAAAATTGTTTCCCCAAAGTCCGTAGCCAATTTGAAGCAGAAGAGAGCAATAAGATCCTTCTTGAGAGTCCAAGAATTGCTGATCAGGGAAACCAGGTAGGATTCTGGTAACAAGCCGTGCCCCTGAGGTAAATCCGGATGGCCATTTCAAAGGTGTCTCCCGCGATGACGTCACTTCCGGCACCACCTGCGTGGTCCCCGGGAGCTGTACACAAGGTGTGCAAGTGTCGGAGGAGCTGTCGGGATGCAGCAGCCAAGAGGAGCAGCAGGAGGCCGTGGCTGCGCTCTCTTCCCACTCCTGAGCATTCTGTTTGTCCAAGGTGAGTCCGCCAGCTGGCTGGGCTCCACTTCCGGCCTGGGGGGGGTCAGGAAAGATGGTCGCTCTTCCGGTTCCGGGTTGAGGGGTCTCAGAAACCCCCCGCTCGGTTGCTGGGAGGGAGGGGACGTGGGAGGATGGTTTTCCCCGGCTGGTGCCACCCACTGCGGAGAGTTGGTCCCGGGTCCGTGCGGAGCTCTCGGAGCCTGACCTGTGGGACTTGGCTCTCCCTGGGTGATGCCACGACCGGATGAAACCGGAGCGAGCTCAGGCTTTGCGGACGCTCGCTGTTCGTGTCCGAGATTGTCAGTGATTGTCTGCCGGGACTCTGTACTGCTGTGGCCCCCTGGCCAGAGATGGGCGATTCTGTTTGTCCCAGTTATTTTGAGAGACACAGTCATGATTAGAGGCTGGGGAAAAAAAGAGAGAAAGAAAGGGGCCGGGGGAGGAGAGAAGGGAGAAGAAAATCATGCTTTGGTAATTTTATTTCAGGGGCTATGAAATAAAACATTTTCGAGAAGCGTTATAGTGTGATTTTTCTTAGAGCAGGCATATTGTTGAAGAAAAGGCAGCTACCTTAGCACTTCATGAGCATTCTAAAGTATAAAAGACACGGGAGTTCTTTTGAAAGTCTAGTTTTTGACTGTTGTCAGCAGTAGTGTTGACATAATGACAATATTGTGAAGTTTGGATAATTTTGCTTTCGTGCTATTCCAAATTTCTAAAATTGAATCCAAACTAATTGACTTCACTTTGAGGTGCAAATATTTCCTGATTATTTTTTCTGTGTCTGTTTGTGTCTTCCTAAGAAATAAAGTGCTAGGATAGCTAGCATTAGAATGAGTTGTTGTAACATGCCCCTGAAATGTGGTCATTTCTGAAAGGGATCTTTAGTAGTTGTATAAATATGAACACATTTAGGTGGCGGAGTCTCATCAGGTAAGGTGAGGAGGTTTTTTTTACTTATCTGGTGACTAATCTGCACACTGCCAGCACACTCCCTGCTCCCTCCCAGCTACCTGTGTCATCATAAGTGTCCAGATTTTCATCTGAGTTCTTTTTGCAATAGAGTCTT